GATTTTTAAAAACTGATCTTTAAATACCTGTTTTTTTTTTTGTAATTTCCTCATGGAAAAATCCCAATAGTAATGAGAGATCTCAATTTCAAGTGCATTTCATTTCAGGCCATTTCTGAATAAGGTTAAGAGGAAATGTGGTCTATAAATTGCGTTGAGGTCAACAGGTAAAACAGGCTAGAAGAGAATATAGATAGTTATATTATTAAAGAAAAATGCTATGTGTACACCTCATGGTGTATACAATATTTTACACCCCCCTCACATGGAGAGGGGGTCCAAGAATATTTTATTGTGTGTGGGCCCCCCTCCATGTGAGGGGCTATAAAGCCGTGTGTATACCATTGTGTACAAGTAGCATCTCCCATTATTAAATGTTAGAAAATTTTGGAATTTTATTTTAAAAAGTTATTTTTGTTAGAAGGAATAATTTAATTGTTATAGTTAACGATATTTTTGTGTTTATTAGTATATTTAAAAAGTCTTGGGACATTATAGATTTTCATTTTTAAAAGTCATATAGTATTAAATACATGTTTTTGAGAAGTTTCAAAAAACAAAATAAGAGTATTCGAATGTCAATAACTTTTAATGACTTTTATGAAATTCTTCATTTATTAATTTTTAAGGAGAAAGTACCTATGCAAAATCTAATAAAAAGTCTAATTCACCCTCGAGATGTTGAAGGCTTTCGCAAAAAAATAAAAAAATTTCCATATGCAATATTTGTATTTTCTCTTTCATTCTACAAACCTTAGAGCCATGATAAATAAAATTAATATTTCTCTCTATCATCAACTTTTTATTATCATTCTATTTTTAAGATTATCATTTCTTCTTTTCATCATTTTCTCCTTTTCTATGAAAAATATAATTTGTAAATAAAAATTCTTATAATATTGAACATTAGAGGATTTTTCCATAAAAAAATATTGAAACATATATGTGAATTTGATCTCTTAATTACGATGCTTAGTTTATGCTAAGCACAATGTTTAGGTGGCAAACAAACTACCCACTAATGTAATGTACCATCTAAGTACGGTGCTTTGGAAATCATTACTATGTTATATACGAATTTAATATAACAATGCTTTTTCTACTTATATTTTAATATTTTTTTAAAAAATTATTTTTTATTGAAATATAATAAAATTTTGTCACTGTGGATTATTATGTCATGCAAGTAGCGATTTAAAAGAATATGCGATAAGTTATATGAAAGATTTTTTTTTTCCTAAAATGAAAGACAGTAAAAATCAATTGAATTCTATAGAAGTCTTTAAATAAGTCTATAAAAATCAATAAAAATTCTTTGAACTCTATAAAAATCATTTACTTAAAACTAATTTTTAAAAATCTAAATTGAATACACTGATAAGAAAGAACATTTTGTTATTAACAAAATAGTAGGTTTAATAATAAGAGAAATGCTATTCATCCCCAATGGGGATGCATCCCCAATCTATGTGGCGTTAAATGATATGTGAAATTAAATAAATCATTTAATTTCACCTATCATTTAACCAATCATTTACATCCACGTAGACTGGGGATGAATAACATTTTTCTAATAATAAAGATATCAAGTTACATCTCGCAGACCATCCATTTGTAAGAAGGGAATCACGTGCATATATACAAATAAAATTTCCACAATTCAAAATTAACTATAATAAATTAATAATATAGTAATACTAATCTAGACAGGATTTTTACTATTGACATTTAGCCCCTGCTCGTACAAATTCAAATTCAAATTTTAATCTAATTCAAAGTCAACAATTGATTTAACAATATATTTTATAAAATTCACAACTTTTCAACCACACATTTCATAAATTTTTATAAAAAATTTACTAAAAATTTGATTTTAATCCACAGCAAATAGGAGCTTAATAACAACTGGCTTGAACGAAATTAAATGATCTTATTGAGAAAAGGGAATCAATTTTTTTTTTCAAGTAATAGTGAAATTTACGTTGTGTTTGGCACCCATTATTATTATTTTTTAAAAAAAATCTCTTTATTAATTATAACCACATATTTTTCAAATAAAATAATATTACACACAAATCTAAAATTTTTTATTACTTTTCAACCACACATACTTCGAACAATCACTATTCCAAAATTTATAATACACTCAAAAGGGATGCCAAACACAAACTTAATTGTACATTTCATTTAATGACAAATGATATTATTTAGACTGGTATTGTAATGCAATAGTGCTAAATAACATTAATCTTTCAATTAGCATCATCTTTTAGACATGAAATCTAGTACCTTAACCAAAGTAGTACTAAAAGTAAAAGCAAAAGATGGGGAAAAAAAAGAAACAATTTACATGAGCTTGAGCAACACCATACAATGATAACAATCAGACAAAAAGTCAATAAACCCCAAGTAGAAATCCAAGTTAATTCCCACTTTGGTCATGTTTAACAATTATACAGTTGTTGGGGTGGGTAGGGGTGGGGTTGGCAAATTATATCACTTCAAAATATCAAATTATTTTGTTGGTTGGCATTTGATTACTTATAATTAATTATGTTTTTGCTTAAACTCAAACCCTTAAAACAGATTAATTTTGAAACACTTTTTCCTTCATCAACTTGGAGATTGACGCACTGCACAAGCAACCACTTGTGCCCATTGTCTCAACCTTGTCTTCACCGTTTGTGGATTATCCCCTGAGAGAAAAAGAAACAAAAGTCAGGTTTAAGAACATCAATCTTGAAAAAACCCAACTATTTTCTTAATGAATACAGAACCAACTCTTAGGATGAATCTCTGATCCATCTAACAATTCTTGTAAAGGAGTTTTTAATCTTTGAGTTTAGTTGGAGACAAATCGTGTAACAAGATCGAGAGTCGAGATCATAAAAACCTAAAGAAAAATTTGAGAAAAAAGTAAGAAAGTGATGTATTACCGGGGCCAAAAATGGTGTGAGGGCTTCCAAGGGGAGATGGCGTATCGCACTCGGAGGTGGCGGAAGATAATGGCGGCAGCGGCGGCTTTGAAATAGAATCGTTGTAATGTTTGTTCACTGAATAGTAAAGTTCATAAGCCGGAAAAGTATCAGACAGCCTCTGGTCCATTCTGGGAGAGTCAAATCCAAATCCAAGCTCTATGCAGGCCTTCAGTTCATCTAAATCCTCGTCGGTGACGCTTTTGCTCCGACGGTTACGCCGATCCTTACGCCGAAGCCACGCCTCGTCGCGGTAGGAGTCGGGCGACCAAGAACTCTGTTTGCACAGAGAGGAAGTTACACGAGGCGGCGGAGGGGAGAAGGGTGGCTGATGTGGTGGCGATGGAGTTTTGGGGTGTGACATTGAGGAGGTGCTGGTGGTGGAGCACCGCGCGCCGCCCAACCCCTAAGGCGGGGAGATGGGGAGGCCGTCGGAGAGCTCTATGGCTCGGAGTTCTTGTTTTTGTCAAATTGAAGCAGTTTAATGGGTGAATGGTGGGTTATATTCTGTTCTTCTTGTTGTGCATTCATTGGTGGGCCCAGTATTGTGGGGCCCTCAAACTAAGCATTGTTGGGCTACGCTTTTCACCAAATGGCCCTAAGTTCCATCTAGACGAAGCTGAACTTTGGGATAGAATCATAGAAACCTCATATTCTAACCCTAGCACCTAAAACCATTGAACTGATGTCTCGAAGAAAAACATGTTAACATCTTGCTAATCATGTAGAAATATCGGAGAAATGCCACGTGGCTCAAATATTTCGGGGAGCATGTGAGAAGGCAATTCAGGTAATTTAGAGAAAGTAACAATATTCGAAATTGTCAAAAAAGGGGAAAAAAACATATAAAAGATCTGTAAACAATTCCCATGTACAAGGGGAATTGTTCTTTAAAATGACATCTTGCTAAACAATTTCCCCAGTGCATGGGAATTGTACTGGGGAAATTGTTTAGCAAGTTGTTCTTTAAAATGACATATTGCTAAACAATTCTCATGTACAAGGGGAATCGTTCTTTAAAATGACAACTTGATAAACAATTCACATGTACAAGGGGAATCGTTCTGAATCGTTCTTTAAAATGACATCTTGCTAAACAATTCCCATGCACAAGGGGAATTGTTAATTCCCCTTTAAAGAACAACTTGCTAAACAATTCTCATGTACAAGGGGAATCGTTCTTTAAAATGACATCTTGCTAAACAATTCCCATGCACAAGGGGAATTGTTCTTTTTGCTAGAGGATTGCTAGTAATAATTCGACACGTGTCCAAGTATAATGCTAAAAGGCTAAAGAATCCACAAGCTTGGCTATTCTATAAACATACACTCGAAAATCAAAAGAAACTCGAGCAATATTAGAAACCTTAGTCAAATTCTTGCTCTCTATTTCTTTGAACTTTACTTGACGACGATCATTATCGGAAAACTCCTCCATAGAATATTTTGATTCGCAAAACGATTAAAATTAAAATTATGATATTCTATATTTGAAAATTAAAAGTTTTCCTACACAAAAAATAAAAATCCAATATAAAAAAATATTTAGTACCTGTTTGGTGGAAATTAAATCGAATTTTTAATAGATTTTAATAAAAGTTGATGAAATATGTTGTTGAAAAGTTATGGATCCCATGAAATGTATTGTTAAAATTAGTTGTTAACTTTACCTTTGACTTAGATTAAATTTTGAATTTAATTTTCACCAAACGGAGCTTAATTTGATCAAATTCATTGACAATTCCTAACACTTCAGTACATGATAAGGAATATAAATGTTATATATTATTGTTTTTATGTTTAATTCTTGAGTCGAACATACTAATCATATAGTTAATATGAAAAACTACTCACTGTTTATATTTTTTTAAAATTCTTCCAAAAAGCTCATTTTTTGTAATTTACATCTCAAATACATTTTTTTTCATTCTTTCACAGTGATTAAATACTTTTAAAAATCTCCTAAAGTTCTCTAGACAATGCCACGAGATATTAAAACTCGACAAATCACCAAAAAAATTAAAATATTGGGAAATAAGAAATATGAAAAATTAATTCACTGCTCACATAAATAAATTTTGGACTCGTGATAAGTGTATTTTGTACACTTATCTAAGTCATTAAATTGGAGTATTTGTTAATGATAATTATAACTTAATTATTTGTTAATTATGTTTATTAGGTTGAACTCAATGCAAATTGGTGAGATTGGAAGAAAGGAAGGAAAAATGACAAAAATGAAATAAATTCAAAGTTTGAGGACCAAAGTGTAAATATTCAATAGTTGATTCAGACTATAAAATAATATTGAAGGTCACATATAATTAATTGGATGCAATTGAAAGTTAAATGAGTGAAATATAGTGGAAATATTGTCACAAATCAATTTTTAGTCGATGAAGTTATGCTCTAAATTTTTAACCTAAACTTGAGACCCATTTTTCAAATGGCAAACATTCGAATTGGAAAAATTGTACTTCTATAAGAATTGTAGCCATTGAGTTAGATTTTCAATGTATATTGAATCATTTCAATCAAATATCGAAATAGAAAATTATGACCCAAATATCGAAAATTGTGCAGAGACGAAATGACGTAAACCTGCGAGAGCACAGCCTTATATATTATTTACCGGAAAAAAAAGTTACTCAACGGCTCATGCGCGGTGGTTATGCTTGTGCGCACAGGGGCTATTTTCGCAGATGAATCAGTAGTATCTTTTCGAGATTCAAACTCTTTTGGAACCCAAATTAGACGTGATTTTAACTTATTTTCTAGCGCTTATAAATACAAAACTTGGGCTACACACTGAAAAAACTCTCTCTTGCCTCTTTATACACAATAGTATCATCAAATTCATCAAGAACAAATGACCAATTGCTATATTTTGAGAGAGAAGATCAAGCTCTAACAAAGAATTGAAAGTTAATTACATCAAAATTTTGAAAAATTCAATATTGGACTTGAAGATCAACATCTTTTGAATTATTTCATGATTCGAGTGATATTTTTCTATTCCCCTTCTTGTAATTTATATATTAATATGTTAGGCTAGATCCACTTTTATATTGGATAAAGATGAACCATGTTTGTTGTTTATTTCTAATTCAAGATTAATAGTTTAGTATTTCTTGCGTTTCTTGATTAATTTTGTATATCCATTGTATTATTTAATTTTACCACCAATTAGATAATTAATTGCTTGTTGTAGTGTTGGGAGACTGGCAATAAATTTAGAACGCGACAAAATTAACATATGTACAATAGATGTTATGAATAACATTTATCACATGTGTAATTATATAAATAATTTAAATTTTAATGCATTCAAATCATTTGAATTCAGATTAGAAATAGATTCGAGTCGTGGTTAGAATACATTTAATTTGTCATGTAAAAGAAAATTATATATCAGAATTTTATCGATTGTCAAGAACGCATAAATGGAATTAGATTACAAATCAAGAATTGAAATAGATAGTAATAGACAAATTTAAAATCAAATACAATCATTCATAATTTGATAAAAATTAAACTTTTATGTCTTTACTAGATTAATTTAGAATCATCACAAAATCAAAATTTGTTTTGTTTATAGAATTCGAATTCTATAGAGTTTATTTCATGTGGGATGATAACTCTTAATTCACTAAATCTATTATTTGTCAACAATTTCGTGCGCTTGCATTTAATTATTATGCTACCACTAGCTTTTAAAGGTAAATTTATAAAAGATTATGCCGTGCAATGTCATTTTCTTCTCCAATATATAACATCTACTTATTGTCATAAATAAGGAAACAACAAAAGTGAAAAATTATCGACAAAAAGGTGACTTATAGATTATAATGCATGGACATGTCAATTTTCTCCGACACGCGAATATAATTGTCGTGTAACAATTGACAAAAAAGGTCGTCAGTCATGACAACTCTGATAAGTGAGTTAGAAGGTAATTTGAAGAATAAGTAATGTATTTTTCTATATGCTCAAAAGTCAATTAGTTTTTGCTTATGAGAATTATAGTTGATTCGGAAAATAACTTTCCTCACACATCGCTACGTACACGATTTTTTTATAGGTTACAACAAGTAGTCTTGACTCTTACCTGCTAGGTTGTCAAATTATTTGAGTTTGATGGCATGTCTTTCACGTTTATTTTGGCTTTGATCACATCGATAAAAAAATATAATAATTAAGACCATAATTTCTACTTTCTACATGTTTTGTTTGGTAAAAATAATAGATAATTGTTGTCGAAAATTCGACTATTTCATCGAAAGACTAAAAATAAAATGAACAGAAAATGAAATGCAACAGATGAAGCGAGGTATGCCAAATCAAATCTCTTTAAGACAAATTTCACCCCCCAATAAAATGTAAACGAGATTATAGACGTCTATTTCTCAAGATACAACGCTCATTCTAAAGTCGATACTGCACAATATCAATATTGTCGGTCGAATTAAAGAATGATCGTACTCGAATGGAATAACCACGAATATATTTGAAGGAATTTTGCAGAATATGGAGAATGAATGAATTTAGAAATCAACAGTATTTTTAATTGATTTGGAGTGTTCAAAAAGGAATATGGAGGTCTCTATTTATAGGGATTGAAGTGTCTCGTTGAATGGGTGTGTGACATTTCATGAACTGTTGCACCACTTGATCTGATTCGTCTTAGCCATTGAATCACACCATTTCATGATCCGACGGCCCTGATAAACCATGAAGTGTAGTGTCCTTTCATCATATCTATTCACCAGCCATGCAGATTCCATACGTACATCTAATTGAACCAACTGCCATGCAAGACGAAGTGACGCCACATGTTATGTGTTGCCACTTAGGATGCCAACTCATTGAGCTTATCGTTGCCATGTCATCAAACCATGAGTCAATTTCCGAAAACTATAGGCTCCCCTACGTGCGAAGTGCGTCTCTCAAGCACCCAATGCGAACTTTGCGAAGTGAGCGGGCCGGGGGGTAGCGCGAGTGGTGAGAAGCACCACTCTAGTGGTGGCTAGTTTGCTAGCCTTTAGCTAGTCAAAGTTAGTTAAGTTGTAGGTCATTTATTAAATTATAACATGTACACACATCCAACTATATAAACAAGTCTTTTTTCTT